CTGGCGGCCCTGCGGGACGCGCTGCAGCCGGGCTGCGGGGCGCGGCGGGCGCTCCCCGGCGCTGGTGCTGGTGCTGGCTGGCAGGGATGCAGGCAGCGGACTGCCGTGTCCACAGGGCAGATTGGGATTTTCAGAGCAACTGCAGACGTTAGGCACCTGTGTGGCTGGGTCAGCTGTGGGGGTTTGGGTTCAGAGTTGAAAAAAAAGCCTGAATGGCTGCTGAAAATGAGTCTTGCTCTTAACAGAGCAACACCGGATAATCTCTAGCAGACTGACAGCAAGAGCGGGAGGCTTGTCCTGGTGCGCAAGGCTGTGGCAGAGCTGGAGGATGCTCCTTGACCTGTGACTGAAACCGTCCTCCCGCTCGTCTCCCTCTGGCCCCTGCCTGCTGGAGCGCTCCGGACAGGTCAGTGCATGTGGTCCATAAAACGGTTCCCTCCGATGCTTCCTCCAGAGGAAACGATAGGGAGAGTTCTACGTGAATAACCCGCAGGCTGCAGGAGCAAGGGCAATGTGGCCGGCCCAGCAGCAGGCTGGGGGCTGCATCCACACCATAAGCCAAGAGCTGAGGAACTTTCTGGGTGAGACTTGGGGATTTCATTGTCAGTCTCTATTGTTTGGGTTTAATTAAAAACAAACTGGCAGGAGAAAGACCACGTGCGTATCAGAGATACCGGCAGGTCACACCACCAGAAAGCCATTTCGCTGCTAGTGAAGGGCCTCGTTGGCAGGTCTGTTTGGCAGGAGCAGGGTTCTGGATTTCACTCTTATTTGTTAATCTCCTCTCTGGCTTTGAAGACCTCTTTTTTTGTGTGTCTTATTTTAAAATTTGTTTGAGCCTTCCCTTTTAAACCAACCCTGCTTCACAGAAGGAGTCAATGTAAATTCAGGGGGGTTTGCTTTAGGTGCCGTATTTTCCCCTTCGCTTCCAGCAGCCGAGTATTAAAGTGCCTTGTCAGAAAGTGGACAGTGCCTTTGGCTGCAGTTTGTTTCTTGGGAGCAATCCTGCTGCGTGCTAGCTGTGCTGGCATGCATAGCAAGTGTTTGTGCTTGACTCCTGATTCTTACAGGGACAAACTCCAATGCCTGCATCTCTTAGAAGTCTCTGCATGCTTTCTGATTAAGCAGCAGGAGCTCAGGCTGTGGGTAGAGCTTCTTGACTTAGCAGCACTTTACAGACAAACACTGAAGCAGAACCATTTTTACCCTTGTCAGCTTTTAGAGGAAGAAGAGAGAATTCAGCCCCTCACATTAGCAATCACCTTGCTGGGTTATTAGAAAGAGGAGGGCACATCAGGGAATACACAGAGGAAAATCTACTCTGTCCACACTGTGTCCAAGCAAAAGTCTTGGCTGTGTGACTGGTGGAAGCTGTGGCGGGCAGAGGGGCTTCCTTCCAGCCTGCACCTGGGTTGCCTTTGTGTAGACACCAAACTGCAGAGAATGGAGGGACATGGCCAGGCTGAGCTAAGAAGTTTCCCTTCCCTCCCATGACAGCGCAGCAGTGTGACAGGGGCTAGCAGCCTAAACCTGCCTAAGGTAGTCACCCAGAACAGAAATGTTATCACATTTCATTTCCTTATTGTGTCAGGTCTGGAAGTGTTTGCAGGTTGCTGTAAAACACCAGAAAATATATATGTATATATATATTAAATGCTTTTATTTGAAGCACTGAAGGTATTTCCCATATGTTAGTATGTTGGACCAGCACTAGAAGAGACAGCTCTTAATTAGGATGTAGTGAAAAATATTACAGAAAATGCCAATTTATGTAGTAACTGATGAATCTAGAGAGGATAAAGCTATCCATGGTGTACATTCTTTGCACATGCAAAAGCTTAAAAGACAGTTCCTCGACAATTTCTATGTGCCTTGCAGAAAGTATTCACCAGAAACCAGTGGGAACAGTGGAGAGGATGGGAACAGTCAAACTCCAGGCATGGAGCCAATATGCAACCGATTTTTAGCGTGCGTATGGATCAATTACTCAAAACCTTGTTTATATGCAAAAGGCTTCTAAGCAGAAACAAAAAGCTGTGTACGTTGCTTGAAAAGCAATGTCCATGACCTAACACCAACTACAAATGGAAAGGCCTTCAGTTATTTGTAGTGTGGTAATGACAGGGGCTTGGGCAGCTCTGTGCACAGAAGGCTGTATGTATGCAGAGAAAGTGACATTCTATGTGCTAATAATTTATCATTTAAAAGACATGGCACAAAAGGGTTCATACAACCCATATCTGAAACCCACTCACCAGGTAAGTGCTTATTTTGAACAGGTTGATAAATTGGCTCCAAAGCAGAATGCTGTTTTTCGAGACCTTTTGAGCAAGAAGAGCACATAGAGTGATTTCAGGAATTAGGATTTCAGTGTGCCTTTATTGCCAGCTGTG